CTTTTATTGGACAGATCGGTCCTGAGTCACAAATTTCAAGTTTGGAAGTTTGTACTACCACGATTGTCCACCATGCTCCCGCATATCAAGAATTTTTCTTGAAATTTTTTCATCATATGAAAAAAAATTTTATATCTCCATGATTATGTCAAATACAGGGTTAAAATATTTTATATAAGCAAATAATGCCTTCCTGATATTTATAATTAATACACCCAAGGTAGATTCGGATAACTATTTTGTATTTTTCAATATATTTAATAAATTAATAAATTTATACTATTATAATTTTAACAAAGCGTTTAATGGATTTTATTTACTTAATTATATTCAATTACAATTTTTTTATTGATATGAAGTAACTGAACAATAAATGAGCTTCGCCAAACGAAAACCTGCAATTTTGATTTTTGCCGGCTTCCGATTCCCGATAATTCTAAATTAAGCACATGTATTATATGGTGTGCTAAATCACATTTTTCGGGGTTTGATCTGTAAAATTAATTTCGAAAAACTCTCAATTCCTGGTTTTTGCTTGGCGACACTCAAATATAATTAAATCTATAAAACTATAAATCATTAAAAATATCTTCTAATTCACGATTATTCTTAAGAATCAACGTGTTTTTGCAAAATGCATTGGCTAATGTTTTCGTCTTATGATCCAAGTTTATTATTCCAACTAAGTCAACGTGGTGTTCTTGTAAAGTGCAGCGACTAATAAGTCAACGTGGTATTCTTGCAAAGTGCATCAGCTAATGCTTTTCTTTCTTCTGATCCAAGTTTATTATTCCAATCAAGATCCAGAGAAGTCAATGCAAAGTGCATTGGCTAATGATCTTCTGGTCCAAATTTATTATTATTCCAACCAAGATCCAGAAATTCAACATGGTGTTCTTAAAAATGCACTTGCAATAATGCTTTTCATTCTTCTGATCTAAGTTTATTATTTCAAAGAATTAAACATAATGTTCTTGCAATGTACATCAACTAATACTTTTTGTCCTTCTTAACCAAATTTATTATTATTCCAACTAAGTTCCGGAAGTCAACGTAGCGTTTTACAAGATCGTCGACTAATGCTTTTGCCCCCTGATCCACGTTCAGTATTCTAAGATCCAAAGAAACTAATGAGGTGTTCTTGCAAAATGCATGGGCTAATGCTTTTCTACCTTCCAAACATAACCTAAGTTATTAACGATTTTGTAAGTTTATAGGTTAGTGATTTTAAAACTCAGTGCAGAGGTTTACCAGTAGTTGTGTTCTTTGTAGATTTGACTATTACCGTATTCAATACTATAAAATATAAAATATGAAAAAAGGGTATTTTCGAAGACAAGATTCTTTTCGAGTTTATTATTTTTCTTACTTTAAACATAATAAATTATTTTGCCGAATCATTTCACGTTGTCCAGAACGCTGTTTCCTTTTAGGAAACCCCTGAAAACGGCGATTGAAAAAGCAGAAATGGCCTACCGTTGTAATTTACTATGAAATTCATGTGTCGATCACTCAAATTTCATAGTAAAAATTTATTCACCTGGTTTAGTGCGTACCAAGATTTTTAGAAAATGTCTAAATTTTCATCGCAAATTATTAATAAAATAAAAAATCTAATATTTTACATTTATTTTGAATTGCAATTAAGAATGTATACTATTAGATAATTTTCAAAATCGCTCGAAAAATGCAAATCATGCCAATTAGTATACAAATTATGCTTCTCATCCATTTACTTAAGAAGCAGGAAAAAATGATCATTAAGGAAGTACCTATATTACAAATATTTCAATCTACATGTAGAATACTTTATTTATACACAAATACTAATTTTTTAAGAATAATTTTAGGATAAATAAACAAAGGAATTTTTGATTTTGTTGCAATCTCGTAAAAATTTCCAGTTAGCAAATTTCTGCCTTGTTCAAAAATATTTGACAACACATGAAATCAAATATATAACCAAAGCACAGCCTATCGTGACTAATCGACTAATCTTCGTCGTATTATGTTTAAGTCTTCTCTCTTGAATTTTCAACGAAAAATAATAGCTGAATAAACTGCATAAGATAGTAAATTATAATCAAGAGAAATGATTAATATTTAACTAGTAAAAAAAAAAAAAATACCGGATATATTCTTAAAGATTAAAATAATTGATACATACCTCCTCTTCGTTATCTCAAGTTGTCATCATTATCAATCCACTCGCCAGTTTTAGTAACACTTTCTAAAACCATCAATGCTCTTCTCATCCCTTCAGAAGTAACTTTTGTACGTTTTGCCAGCGCCAGTCGTTTCAGCGTTCCGATCCTCTTTGCATACTGTGTAATGATACACAAATATTCATCATCAATACAATTACTTCTAGGAAATTGTAATAACTCTAAAGGTGCTTTACAATTTCCCAGTAGCCAATGTAACACCATCAACCAAAAATGTTCCTTCGATAACGATCATTAGATTTCTTAATTTTACAGGTAATCTTAATGACATGTCTTTCCAAAATACTTCATCATCCATTAATTCGGTTCCGATCGATATATGCATTTGTTCTATATGTATACATGTCTCAAGAACTGCTTGAAAATATGGAAGGGTTTCTCTGCTTACATGTGTCTCAATTACTACTAATTTAGGACAATACATTGAAATCGTTGAAAGAACTGTTGGTGGTGGAAAATCACCTACACCTCTTGCAACTATTCCTAGCGGCCGTCTAACATTCCAAACTTTTTTACCTAATCGAATATCTTGCAAATTTCCAGCAGTGTTTTGGATCATAAGTGCAAGTGGATGATTAAGTGATGATATTCTTTTTGGTTGTATTGATGAAATTGAAGGCACTGGCATGACAGGAAAAGGTGCATTAGGTGGTGGAATATTTTGACCAGCAGGAGCAAGAATAGTACGTAAATCTCGAAATCCAATACTCTTCCTGAACACAAATTTCTTTAGTCGGCTAAATGTTGCAGTTGATAAAGGTTCTACGATATCATCAGACAATCCAAGACATCTATCAAATATTAACGTTTCCAAATTAACGCAATATGATAGAGCTTCAAGTGAAACAGAAATTCGAAAATCAGCTCCGTTAAACTCTAAATAATTTAACGAATTTGCTTGACTTTTCAAGCCTTCTATTAGCACAGGAAGACAATTTGATCCACCACGTCGAAGAACCACACGTTTCAATGAATGTTGAGCCTGTAAAAGACTTAACATCATCATTGGGTCAGCATGTTTCCTTTGCCATGAAGAAAAACTTATTTCAAGAGTATCAAGATTCTTGCAAATCATTGATAAAACTTCCATAATTTTTCCATCAGTTGCATCACCTCCATACTCAAACTTTTGCAAGAAAGGTAAACAAGCGCTTGCACCAAAATATGAAGGTAATTTTAGAAGATCATCAAACCCATAGGCACCACGAAAATCCTCAAAGCTAGTAGGTGTATATTGTATATCACCAGGATGATGTGACCAAAATCGACGATCAATCAAGCCAACGAGACGTTGGGTGTTGAGTGAAAGAGATTCGATAACCCGTGTTTTACTAAAAAATAATTTACAAAGTTCATTTACCAATATTTTAATAACACGAAGATCGTCAAAAACCTCGGATTCTCGTTTAATTTGTCGCCCTTTATCATAACCGTCTTGTAACCAAGCTGAAGTTGACTCATATAGATCGTCAAAACGAAAGCCACGTAGAAAACTTGGATAATCAAATACTTTTGGTCCAGTTAAAATTGGTATATTGATCCCTTCAACTTTGAGTTCACATTTAACTCGCTTATCAAATAAAGAGGTATATATTTCTATGAGTTCCGGACAAGGTTTTTTGGCAAGTTTAAAAGGATGCCTCCATAGGAAAGGAGCTACACTTGAACACCAAAATCGGTTGACCAGAAGACAAGCGTGTAAAGAAGCTTTGTCATTTTGAAGTAGATGAAATACTTCTTCGAGACATTCCCTCGGTAAGGACTGTACCATCTTGCAAATTAAGGTAAACCTATTATTTTACACCTTTTATATTTGCAATAATGGTTTGCCTTTTTTTTTTTAACAGAGATACCTGCATAAGCAGATAACTCATTAAAAAAAGGTAATAGCATTACTTTTTTTAATTAGTGCCGGAAAACTATCAAAAAAAAGGAAAGTTTTTTCAAAGAAAGAAAGAAAAAAAGAGATAGAAAAAAAGTGGGAGTAGGTGAAAAAGAAAGCTAAAGAAAGAGAAAAAGAGAAAGAAAGAAAGAGAGAAAAAGAGGGAGAAGGAAAAAGAGAAAAAAAGAAGAAGAAAATAAGAGGAAAGAAGGAGAGAAAAGGAGAAAAAAAAAAGAAAAAAAAAAAGAAAAAAAAAGAAGAGATAAAAGAAGAAAAAGAGAGAGAGAAAAAAAAAAGAAAAAAAGGAAAGAGGAGAGAGGAGAGAAAGAGAGAAAGAAAAATAAAAAGAGAGAAAGGGAAAAAGAAGAAAGAGAAGGTAGAGAGTGTGTATAACCAAATTTGGGTTTATTTGAACTCAATTTAGATTCTTTTGATCTCAATTCAGGTTCTTTTGACCCAATTTGGATTATTTGAACTAAATTTGGGTTTGTTAAATCTAATTTAGGTTTGTTGAACCTAATTTGGCTTCCTTAAACCCAATTTAGATTTGTTTGCCCAATTCAGGTTCGTTTGAACCCAATTTGGCTTCCTTAAACCCAATTTAGATTTGTTTGCCCAATTCAGGTTCGTTTGAACCCAATTCTAATTTGTTTGACCCAATTCAGGTTTGTTTGAACCAAATTTAGATTTGTTGAACCCAGTTAAGGTTTCGTTGAACCCAGTTTGGGTTCATTAAACTCATTTCAGATTTAATAAATCCTATTTGGGTTTGTTGAACCCAATTCAGGTTTGTTGAACTCATTTTGGGTTTGTTAAACCCAATTAGAGTTTGTTAAACATAGTTTAGATTTGTTTAGCCCAATTCAGTTTATTTAAACTTAATTTAAGTTTGTTTGACTCCAATTCAGGTTCACTAAACCCAATTTGAAAACTTAGGCAATAACTATATCCTAAAAGCAAAAATATTTTAGACTTAAAAATTAGCAAAAAATTAAAAACTCAAACCCAAACAATAACTATGTTCTAAAAGCTAATATCATTGAGGCCTAAAAATTAGCAAAAAATTAGAACCTCAAATTTAAACAACAACTAGGTTCTAAGAGCTAATATAATTTAGGCCTAAGAATTAGCAAAACATTAGAATCTCGAATTTGGACAACAACTGAGTTCTAACAGCTAATCTTCTTACTTATAATATGCTAATCTCTGTTACATTTGAAAAAAGTAACACACCCTATAAAATACTTCTGTGTTAGCAGAGGTATTTTATAAGGCATGTTACTTTTTTTAAATATGACAGAGATTAATATATTATAAGTATCAAAGATTTTTAGAGTCTACCTTAGTAGTGGGGCCATGTGACTTTTGCTATTTTGCATTCTTGTATAATTGGTAAAATTTAAATTCTGCTAAAATAGAGTTTGAAACTCCGCCAAGTAGCAAAAGTTACATGACTAATATAATTTATAATAGCAAGTTATTTATTTTTTTTAAAAAAAAATTTGATAATTTAAAAATAAAATAAAAAAATGAAAAAAATAAAATATATAAAAAAAAAGATAATTTAAAATAAATAAAAATTGATAATTTAATAAAAATAATAAAAAAATAGTAATTTAAAGTTATTTAAATAATTACATTACAGCTATTTTATAATTTCTAAAATATTTAATAAAAATTGGCCAAATCATTTTTTGGCCAATTCGATTAAATTTGTAATTTTTGCATAATCTGTATAATAAAAACTATTTTTGATTTAGAATAACTGTTCTACAGACCAATGTAATAATAATGTTAACATTATTAAGCTTTGTTCAAATACTTATCTAACTTATTTAATGTGTCAATTAAGCCTTAACAAAAATGCTTTATATATTAATTAGGCTTTTATAATAAAAATATTACATGAAGTATATAAATAATATTACTTTAATTTGTATATACAAGTTGCAAGCTGGTTTGTAACTCTTCAAATTTTCAATATATCTATATTTTTGAAAGTGATTAAGAACCTGATTTATAAAAGATATGCTAAATCTAAGTGTTTGATAATTTTTTGAAATAATATAGCTCTAAATTTTTTAAAAAATATTTTTCAGTAAAGATGCTTTAAAAATATCATATTTCTATAATCCAGAAATAATATTTCATTATGGTGAATTTGTAAAATACCAAAATTTGAAAAATTTGACCACCTATTGTGAGTTATTTAATTGACTTTACATATATGTTATATTATTATTCTATTATAACAATGATATACTTTTTAAATTTTCTGCCTATAAAATATTGTCAATGTTACTGAAAACTATTAAATTGTATATTCATTCATGGTTTGTGCTAATAAAAAAATAAATTAAATGTTTTGTTAAATTAAAGTTGAAATAATTTTTTAATTTTAATAAATTTTGTCCTTAAATTTGGGTTCAAAAATTAGTCAAATTTGACTAATCTGCTATAATGTATATTAGTACCTAATCTTAATTATGTATATATATATAATTTTTATTGAATCTATTACCGTATAGCCGCAGAATAATGCACAGAGCATTATTTCGATTTTTGGCCTAAATTAAGATTAATTCAGGCCAAAATTCGAAATAATGCCTCTGTGCGTTATTCCGCGGCTATATGGTATGTCAAAATTGCAAACTCAATCAAATTGGTCAAAAATCATTTAGCTAATTTTTATCAGATGTTTCAGGAATTATAAAAATAGCTATAATTTAATAAGTTAAATTAAAGAAAAAAAATCTTTAATTTACAAAATAACTGATAAAAAATTTGCTAGATGATTTTTATGCTGATCTAGTTAAGTTATTGATTTGTATAATGATTGTTAACAATAATATCAACAATTTTAAATTTTCATTTAAATGTACATCCAAAATCCAATAAACTTTAACAAGAAGGAATCAAATATAAATTAGACTTTAATAACAAATATATTACTTGAACAGAAGTCTTTATTAAAAAAGTTAAATATAATTGACTAGTTTAAAAATAAATCTCGAGTTAGATTCTAAGCAACCAAGATATTATCAATATTTGTTGAGAATATATGAAGAATTAGGTCAAATAAAATTCAAGTAAAAATTTTATATTTTTAAATTATCTATATTTTTTGTTTTTACAAAAACAAAAAATAATTAGAAATAAAGAAATAATTATATTTGAATAAAAATGAATTTTGCCAAAAATAGAAATTGAAATTTAGTTTAATTTTTTAAAAGCAAATTTTTTATTTTCAACAAGAAATGAAAAATAAATTAAAAATAAATAGATGCTTTTATTTGAATGAAAATAGATTTTACCAAAGAATAGAAATTGAAGTTTTATATATTTTTTAAAAACTAATTTTTGTTAAAAAATGATTAGAAATGAATAAAGGCTTTGTAAAATAGATAATATAGAAATTGAAATCTTATTCAAATTTTTTTAAAAATGAATCTTCATCAAAAAATAATTAGAAATGAATAAAGGTTTGTTTGAATGAAAACAGATTTTTCAAAGAATAGAAATTGAAATTTTATACAATTTTTTAAACAAATTTCTATCAATAAATAATTAGATTTTGCCAAAGAATAGGAATTAAAATTTATATAATTTTTAAACCCAAATTTTCATCAAAATATTTAGAAATAAATAAAGGCTTTGCTTAAGCAAGAATAGATCATGCAAAGGAATAAGTTTTATTGTAATATATATTAGTCTTATTATTTTTGACAATTTTGCTAAATATTTATTAATAATTACTAATCATTAGTGGAGCTTATTTTATACATTGCCCACATATTTTATAGAACATCTCCCAAAATATATAACTTAACCAGATCAGCTTAAAATCATCTGCAAATTTTTATCAGTTGCTTTAGAAGTTATAATAATAGCTATAACTTTCATAAATTCTGAAAAATCTGGCAAAATTGACTAACCAAATTTTTGCCAATTAATTCTAAATCATCTTACTGCTGTAATCACATTTAAATTAGAAGTTTTTTATTGCACAAAAACCTAGCTAACCAGCAGATATTCGGTTGGCTAATTTTTGCCAGATTTTCTAAAACTTATAAAAATGACTGTAATAAAAAAAAGAAAGAAATAATAATTTATAGCTGTTTTTATAAATTCTGAAATATCCGACAAAAAATTAACTAACTGAATATTTTTTGATAAGTTTTGATTTAGCAATTATTACTATTATAATTATAAACTTATCTAATCAGCATGGTTAATTTTTTGTTAGATGTTCCAGAATTTATAAAAACACTGTAATAAAAAAAACAACAAATGAAGACAATAATTTTTAAAAATAAGCAATTATTTAATATAAAAAAATAAACATAATTAATTAGGGTAGCTGCGCAGTGTGTGATGCAGCAAAGGACCAGCACGATCACGCAACAAGTTCAAAATGTATGTTCATGTAAAATAATATTTGTCAAAAATTTGTTAAATTTACCAGCTTGATGGTTTTTTTACCCGCATCACAAGACTTTGGCTCATTCAGAACAAATAAAAATAAATTAATCAAAGGCGAATCATTAG